CCGTGGTGCCCACTGGCTGATCAAACACAAACAAGAGTTTGGCAATTCTGCATACACTGGGAAGATTTTAAAGGACACTGTCATGGAAAAGCATTCCTTGACATTCCCTGCTGTCATTGATGGAATGCTCTAGGACAAACAGAAGGTTTCATTCAGCAGATCTTATCTGGCTGTGGGGAAGGGATGATATTGCTTCACTCACACTTCTCATGCAGTTCCTGGGTAACATCAGAGCAGCATAAACAAAGTGCACTAAACATTTTAATCTTTTTTTCTGAATAAACAGGAAAAAACAGTATCAAGATACCAAGTCATGGTACAAGACAGACCCACCATAGCTACAGTCTGTTCTGTTTACATGAGCAGCTCAAAATAGCTGAGATGGATGTGCCTGTAGGGAGCTCACTTATGCCACTGGAAAAGGTAGGAGGAGAAAGGAACAAATTAAAGCTCAACTCAAAGCAATTATTTCCAGCAGCAGGATCAGCCCAGGAATGAGAAATACATTTAACACAAATGCAGAGCTCACCTTCCCATTTTTTGCTCACTTAAGAAGTAAATCTGCAATAATCTTACCTCCACATCCTGCTTGTTGGCCAGCACCAGAATGGGAACCCCCTCCAGAGCTTCACTGGTTATCATCTTCTCTATAAAGCAGAAACAAAATCAGAGGTTCAGCCAGTTCTGGAAGACAAAGCTGTGCCAATGCCTGGCACAGACCATCTGGACACAGGGAGGAAGCAAGAGGTTCCTTCTTGCATCACAGTTTCATTGGATGCCACTTCTCAGGTCTATTTTCTCCACAGAGTTTTTTTCCAGGTCAAACCCCCAACTTTATTTTAACCAACAAGCATGTTACTGAGAATTAACAAAGTGATAAAGGTAGAATTACAATTCCAAAACCATTAGCATGAGCACAAAAATAAATCCAAGGCCCTTCCAGGCAGTGGGAGTGAGTCCTGTGCTACAACCAAGACAGGCTTCAACAAAGTGCCTGAGGACTGCAGATGGGTCAGCAGGAGGTGACACAGGGACTGGGAACAGACCTGGCAGGGATGAGGACTGTGCCACAGGACATCAGGGGATCCCCACACCAGGAGAACAAAAACCTACTCACCAAAAGCTCTTTTAGATTCTGAGAGTCTCTCCTCATCCGTGGAGTCAATCACATAGATCACTCCGTGGGATTCAGCATAGTACTGAAAGGGAAGACAGACACTGGTCTATCCACTAGGAACACTTGGTCCTCTTCCTGATCTGTTTATTTTGTTTAAATTTGGTAAAGTTTGGATGCAGAAGGAAGTGATCAACCAGTTGGAGGCAGCTGTTTCCACAGTGTATGTCTGAGAGAAGAGCAGTGGCACCCAGAAGGGCTGAATACTGCAAGTAAAAAGCTGATCTGTGCCCCAAAATGCTCATCTCTGCTGCCACAGCCCTCAGACAGGGGTTGGTAATTGCTGTCTCTAAACAATAATGCAAATATTAAGCATTATTTTCACTAATCTTGCATTATATAGTTGAATCTCTGGATTCAACATCTGGATTTAGCATCTGTTGATGCTAAATACTGAGGTTTCCAATTAGCCTGTGTGATTACTAAATGATTGTACTGATAAATGCTAAAGGAGACAAAAACTTTTCACCAAGAGACAAAAAAAAAAACAACAAAAAACCATCTCCAACCTTGTCCCACAGGGACTGCAGCTCCTCCTGTCCTCCAAGATCCCAGAACATCAGCCGAGCTTTGCCAACATCAATAGTACCAACTAGGGGGAAGGAAGGAAAAAACAACCCAGTGAAATTCAAGGTGTTCTCTGGAGCACCAACACCTGGACATCCCCCAGGAACTGTGGGGTAGAACAGCCTTCTGGAGGTAAAAACAATCACATCCAGCAGCTACTTTCAAGCCCAGAACCCGACCTCCCCAAGGAGTGAGCAGTGCTGTCAGACCCAGCCCTATCAGGGCAAATCATTTCAGAATTAGGCCCACAAAGGAACCTGAGTAAGATTTGGAACTGAAATGGGAGACTTGGTTTGTTAAGACTTGAGGGTTTTTTCCTCAAAAACTCAGCAAGTCTATTTCATTCTCTTACAAAAAGACAAGTTGTGTTGGGAGACAAGACCTCAGCTGCCAGGGACTATTTTGCCCTTGTCAGGTCTTCAATATAAATAATATTAATAAATATTAATTATATAATAAAACAAGGACCAGCTGTTGTCTAATTGTGCAGGAAAGCTGAAAAAATCCCCAGCAGGTTTACTTACTGTTTAAGCCTACAGTGGTTGTGATTTTGGACAAACTCATCCCTTTGTAGTTCTTGTTAAATCGGGTTTTAGTCTGTTCAAGGAAGGTCTGAAAAGGAAGAAGACAAAGTATTTATTCTCAAATATTTTACTGGGTCATCCTGACCCAAACCTGCCTCTTACATTTCTGCTCCAACAGACACTGCACTACCTAAACTTGGAGCAAACCACTCTTCTTGTTCCCTATTTTAGCTAGGAAAGAAGGGATCACAGGGGATTATGAGATTACCAGGGCCTCAGCTACAGCCCTGAAACCTTGTGCTGAATTCAAGGAAGAGGGTCAAGTTGATTCCTTGGCTGTGATATCACTGGAACAACTCACAAAACTGCCAAAGGAAGATCAAGCTTTCAGGGGTGCTCAGAACTCTGTGTGCCCTCCACACAGCAGGTAATTACCAGCACTTACAGTTTTCCCAGCATTGTCCAAGCCGAGGATCAGGATGCAGTACTCATCCCTCTGGAACATGTATTTGTAGAGCCCAGACAGCAGAGTGTACATCCTGCTCCTGCCACAAACACCAGGGCATCATCAGCAAACAGGCCCCTCCACACGTCTCCCATTCCACAAGGTGAGTTGTTCCCCAACACCAAATAAATACATAAATGGTCTGATTTTTTTTGATCAGCCCCCCTGGTATTTAGGCAATCCCAGGACAGGTCATGGATCCAGGAGAGATCAGGCAAAGAGCTCAAGATCCAGTTTTGAAATGCCTAAAAGTGAGAGATGCTCTTCCAAAGAGCTTCTGGACACCCTGCCCAGGATCCACAGAAAACTCAACCTTCACTTGAAAACGACCCTGTCTGCTCTGGGGCTGGAACCAGAGCTTTTAGGGTGCACAGAAGACCCACAGAAAATGAAGCCAACTTCATACAAATACACAGGTCAGGTATTTTGAGGAAGGATGTAGAGGACACTCCCCTCTCTTTGTTCCTGACCCCATAACCTGGGATCTTTAACGGTCAAACTGTCTGCAGTTTATCTTCAAGGTGCATGAAGCCCCTGCTCCTCTACATTTAAGGCTTATTTAGCAACACTCCTCTCTGACAGCACTCACCACACAAGTATTTCCTCACCTAACAATGCCACCACGACCAGACCCGTCGGCTAACGAGCCCAAAGCACCAGAGCCAGCCCGACACCAGCACCTGCCGGACCCACACCCGCTCGCTGCTGGAATCCCGCACAAACCAGAGGTTTGCCAGGAGCGCTGCAGCTGACTCAGAGCACCGCAGCAACGCTCCCGGTGAGGTACAAAGGCAAAGCCCTTCCCCTGCTGCCAGGGCAGAGGGGAAGGAAAACCGGCCCCTCCGCCGTGTCCCCCAC